AAAGCAAGAGTTTGGGGTAGTGATGGTTTCTCATTGACTGAATTGTAGCAGTTTCTCACTATCTGGGCAAGGAGGAAATCTTCCTCCCTCGCTGGAGTAAAGTAGGCTTCTTCCTGTTGGAAAAACAAGGTATGCTTTTTCCTGTTGGAGCCTGCAATTGACAACGAATTGGTAGGGCACTCCTCCTTCTTCTATCCTGGTTCTATTTTAAATGAGGTTTCCTTTATTCAATTTCACAACCTCAAAAGCGGGAATAGGTCCAGTTGGGCTTTAACAGTGGCTTAGCCTTAGAGCCAGGGTCCTGTGCACCAGGCACACTGCCAGGCTTCTGGTCTAGGCTCTGGGGGGCCTGGCCTGCCCCTCCTCATCCCCACTCCATGGATAAGGCCACAGATCCGGGACTTAGCCTAGGGATGCAGACTCCCCTTAGCCCTGTGTTCAGCATCCTGACTCCTAGGGGTGCCCAGAATCTTGAGTGAGAATGGGTGTAGGAAAGGCCATTCCACCTCTAGGCCTCAATTTCCTCATCTGTCAAACACAGTAATAGGTGAGGCACCAGCTCATTTGCCCATGAGTGCTGAGGTTATCTGTAAAAACCCAGGAGAGGTGGTTGAAAATGTATCTCACCGTGACACTCCTTATCCCAGAACGCTCGGGCCTCAGCCATCATGGCTGTGCAGGCCTTTCCCAAGCCCTGATCTGCCGCTTATCTCGAGTGTTCTGGGCTGTTTACCACTTAAAGAGCTTCCCGTATCTGGGAAGCTAGGTTCTGGGGACTAGAGGAGCTGAGGTTTTGGGGGCCTGGTTGTCTCTGGCAACCCTGCTGCATTTCAGGCCTTCCCCATCCCCATCTTCTGCCATTACCAACACTCTGGGTCGCTGGGCTGGGAGTTTCTCACAGCCAAGAAGAGTACAGGGCCTGAAGCCTTGCCCCAGGAGGGGTCAGTCTGCAGACCCCACCCTGCCCCTCCCTCTGAATCACCACATCTCCCTTCCCAGCTGCTGACAGTCCCTTTGGTTTATGGTCCAGGAGAGGGAACCACTCCGCCTGTAAATCATTTACCCCACCCTTCTTTTTGACCTCTAGCTCTTACTTCTCCCTCTCTTCTGGTCCTAACCTCCAATACCCCTCTCTCCTCACAACTGAAAGCCCCATACATAGCTGGGCAGGTTGCAACATGAGTCTGGGGCCAGACTGCCCAAATTTTCAAATCTGGACTCCACTGTGAACTACCTTTGTGACACTGGGCAAGCCATTTAACCTCTGTGTGTTTAACTTCCCCATGAGGAAATGGGAATGATAATACCCATCTCATAGTGTGGTGAATATGCAATGAATTAATATTTCTAAAGTGCTCAGAACAGCACATGGTGAATATGAAATGCTACAGTAGCTATTAGCATCTCTTCTCTCTGGTCCAGCTTTAGCACTTCCACCTCTGCACCCCTAAGACACCTGAGATCTCATTGCTGAATCCAGTAGCCTCCTCCCAAGTCCTAACTGTACTTGGCATCTCTCATTCTTGAAAGACTCCCTTGAACTCTGTGACCTGATGGTATCAAGAAATTCTCAGCTTCCCAAGGGGCAAGGAGTGTGGGACAGGTGCTTAACTAGGGGCAGCAGGCCTGACAGCATCCTGTGGAATGCAGACCCAGAGAGCTGAGAAAACCTCAGCTTGGGCAGAGATTGTGAGAGTCTTGGGGAGAGGAGAAAGGGCGCTAGTAAGAGGAACATGATGACATGGAGCAGTGTGGTAGGAGGACAGGTGCAAGGACAGAGAAGCAGTGACCCCAGAAAAATCAGGTGATGGCAATAGTGGAGTTAGACGTCTTGGGTTCAGAGCTTGGCTCTTCCCCTTGGTAGCTTTAGGTGACCTTGGTCAAGAAGCTTAACCCCTTAAGCCTCAGTTTTCTCATCTGTAAAATGGGGTAATATTTACATCCACATCATAGGGTCAGTGTGAGTAGTCAGTAAGATAAATGCTTAGCCAGTGCCTGGGACATGGCAGGTACCTAAGATCCACTAATGGTAATAGTCTATGTTCCACTGAGGGAGGAGGCAGAGCAGGCTGCCAGTTCAGTTACAGCATCCGGGAGGATCTACTCCTGGTGTCTGGCTCTCTGAGGAGGTATCAAAAACCTTGTTAACCTCCCAAGGGGAGAAGACAGTGAAGGGTAACAGAATATGCCACCCCACATAAGTCACTTTGGCATATGGATTACTTTGAGTTGTATGCACCTGAAAAACAGCAAATGCAGGGAGAGGCTGCTTCTGAACTTCCCTTACCTGCCTAAAGACAGATCTTCTAAAGGGAACTCAATGGTCATAAATCCCCTTCCTGGGAGTTTCATCTCATATCACAGGAGAGGAGACTATACCACTACCCAGACAAACCTTGTTGCAAACTATCATATCTCCCGTACGTTCTTCTAAGGGCCCACTCCTCTTTCCTAGAAATTCATGTACTCCCTCTAAGAGGCCTACATTCCCCTTAGCCTTTCCTTATTAAAATGGTATTTAAGCCTGAATTCTAAGTCACATGGGAGACTTCTCATTTTTCCCTGGGTATCTCCCATGTACACATAAGTTATACATGTTAAAAACTGATGTTTGTTTTTCTTTTGCTAATCCATTTCTTTGTTGAAGAGTCCCATCCAGAAATCTAAGTTTTGACCTCTACAAAATTCTAACAATTAATACCTTAGAGTCTGACTGTATTTGGAGATAGGACCTTTCAAGCAGTAATTAAGTTAAAATGAGACTGGTAGGTGGGCCCCAATTTGATGTAAATGTTGTCTTGTGAGAAGAAATTAGGACACAGAAAACAAGAAAAGATCATGTGAAGTCAGAGGGAGTAGACCACCATCTACTAACCAAGAGAGAGGCCTCAGAAGAAATCAACCTTGTCAATACCTTGATCTTTTGGACTTCCAGGTTCCAGAACTGTGATAAAATTAATTTCTGTTGGTTAAGCTACTTGTCTGTGGTTTTTTTTATGGCAACATGAGCAAACTAATACAAATATATTTTGCTTTATTTTCCAAATATAAAATTATAATATCATCTATGCGTTTCCAAACTATACATGCCTCAGCTCCATTTCCTTTCTGGCCCCACTACTATCTCTGCTCTGGAAAATTGTTGCCCTGTAGGAGGGAGGACAAAGACCAAACTACTGAGTATGGCACCTGGGCCCTCCTGCCCCACTCCCGCTCATCCTAGCTACCTGCACGTCTGAGCTACTGGCAGGGCTTGGGCTCTCCTTTCAGTGGCCACGAAGGGCAAGGTTAGAGAAGTAGGCTCCTGTGGGCCTGACGAGGGATTGAGCGGGATGGCCACACGCAGGGAAGATGAAACGTGGGTGAGGCAAAAGGCAGGGAGACGAGCTTGGCGTTGCAGCAGTAATCCCGGCCAGAGAGGCTGTGACTCAGATTCGGGTCTGAAGGGGAAGATGGAACAAACTGGATAGATCTCAGAGATACTTGGGAGATAAAACCGACAGGAATTGGGTACTCAATAAATATTTGTTGAACTTGCCTGGCTACTCCTTCACAACTAAGCTCTTCGGTTACTCTTCTGTTTACTGCCTTCATAGCGCTTTTCACAGCCGGCAGTTACCTTGTTTACATATTTGCCTGCGGGTAAAACTGCGATATTTCCAGAATCTCTCACCTGGCCTTAGTGCATCTCCGTATCAATAGGTGTTTCCAAGGGGTGGAGAGTAGTTCATCTCCATATCAATAGGTGATTACGTGCAGGAGAGAGGGCATATCCGGACCGGAGAGATGAGATGCGGCCTATTTTTTGCAGCCCGGTCGAGAGGGACTCGGGCCACCTGAAGTGGGCAACTGCTTGTTGCTTGTAAGCAATAAACGGGTTTCTACCACTTTATTTCTCCCTTTGACTGGTTTCGGTTTCAAAAGCAATTTGCCCCAGGTCGAGAGACAGATTTTACCCCCTGGAGTTACATTGCCTATTGTCTGTTTCCATCAGGCAAAATGTAAACTGTTCAAAAGAAAACCGCAGACCCAAATTATGTCACTTATATTAAGGCTCTATACTTAATACCTAGCTGCAGTTTCAACAACCCCTTCTCCTATAAAGTAACCTTTAACCAGCCGAACTGGAATCTCCTGGTCCACACTAGGAGGTTATCTCCTGATAGCTCCTTCCATCCCTTTTAGGAGAGCGAACTTTTCTAAAGCAAATTCATTCGTTGATAATCATTCCTTTCTTCCACCTGCTCCCTCTTTAACTTCAGATTTAAGAAAATCCAATCACCATTCTGCCTTCCTGGCTGCTGACTCAGAGCAGTAGGTGTTTTGAGGGAAAGGTAAGAGAACCCTGCTAGAACCTGAGATTTGCCCCTAAGGAGTGTGTTAGTGGGGAGCAGAATATGTGGCCTGGCGCGTGGCAAAAGCCTTGAATGCCAGGCCCTGGTCCTAAAACTCAGCACTTCAGACCCGCTCTGCCTCCCAGAGAAGCATAGCTGGGAGCGTGCAATTCCTCCCAGGCTCTAGAGTGGACAGCACTGGCCTGGGCCTGGGGACTCTGGCCGAGGGCGAGAAAAGAATACACCGTCCCTCGTATTTAAAGGGGAGTGGTGGTGACAAGTCCGGGCGAAAAAGTGCATCGCCCCAGACTCTCCCCTCCCAGCTGGAATACTGGTCATCTAGTGGCTGGGGAGACTGCCCAGATGCTCAGCCCCTATTCCGACTTCAGCATACACCCCGAAAGATGGGGAAAGAAAGAGGCCCATCAGCAGGACTCTGAGTCACCAAGGAGGAGTTAGAGGGCCCCAACCAGGTTGCATCAGCAAGGTGACTAGCCGTACAGTGGCTCTTTAAAGGAGTGAGCAGGAGGCTGGGTCTCGAGGTGAGTGGGGGTGGGAGGAGGAGCTTCTTGATGACTTAAGGCCTGGGTGGGCGTGGCTTCTCCGTGACTTGCCGCCAGGAAGGGGGCGGACTCTTAATGACGAAACGTGGGGCAGTGGGGGCAGGCGTTCATTGATAAAAACGCCGGGCTCCCTCGGGCGCGAGCACAGCGTAGCGAATCGAGGTAACGCCACGCGCATTCTGGGCGGTGCGGAACCGAGACAAGCCAGGCCCACGCAGCGACGCACGCTCCGTTAGCATGGAGCCCGCCGCGGGCTTCCAGTCTCCGCGCCCCTTCCCGCGTGCTGCCGCCCCGCCCGCGTCCCACGCCGGGCCCGGGCCGCCTGAGAACGCCATGCCGGGAGCTGAGCTGGAGATGCTGGCCGGGCCGCCGGCGACGGATCCAGGGCGCCTCATCACCGACCCGCGCAGCGGCCGCACCTACTTCAAAGGCCGCCTCTTGGGCAAGGTGAGCTGGAGGGTGGTGCTAGAAAGGGTGGAGGGGGACCCTGTCGGCCTCTTTGTCAGTGCTGGGCGCGGCGCTTGTCCTCGGTGCGGGGACATCTGCGGGCCAGACCCGGCCTCCCCAGGGGCACCCTACCTGAAGCCCTTCCCCATAGGGGGGCTTCGCCCGCTGCTACGAGGCCACTGACATGGAGACTGGCAACGCCTACGCGGTCAAAGTCATCTCCCAGAGCCGCATCACCAAGCCTAATCAGCGCGAGAAGGTGGGCCCGGGCCCAGGCCCAGAGGTCGAGAGACGAGGTGGGGACCGTTGCGTGGGAGCCCTTGAAGGCTAACAATCCCACGGCCCCCACTGCAGATCCTAAACGAGATCGAGCTGCACCGCGGTCTGCAGCACCGTCATGTCGTGCATTTCTCGCACCACTTTGAGGATGCTGACAACATATACATTTTCCTGGAGCTCTGCAGCCGAAAAGTGAGGGATGGTGGTGATGAGGATGGGGGAGGGAAAGGGAGCTTTAGACCCAAAGTTGGAGCCCTGTCTTTCTCAGCAAGCACAGATGGAGGGAGGGTCAGGGAAACGAGGCAGGGAGGCCCCAGGGTTTGAGGCAGTGGCTCTCTGCAGTCCCTGGCCCACATCTGGAAGGCTCGGCACACTCTTTTGGAGCCAGAAGTGCGATATTACTTGCGGCAGATCCTTTCCGGACTCAAGTACTTGCACCAGCGGGGCATTTTACACCGAGACCTCAAGCTGGGTGAGACTCCTGGGCCAGCAGGATACAGGGTTGGGGAGGCAGAGAGAATGGAGTCTAACACACCTCTCTGCCCCCATCCAGGGAATTTTTTTATTACAGAGAACATGGAACTGAAGATAGGTGATTTTGGGCTGGCAACCCGGTTGGAGCCTCCAGAACACAGGAAGAAGTGAGTGTTTGAGGATGGTTGGTGGTAACCACAGTCTGTGTGACACAGATTATGTGCGTGACAGTGAGTATGCATGTGGGCGGAAGGATGCTGGCCTGACGTGTGCATGTGGTAGATGGGGAAGAGGCGATGGGCTGTTTCTGGGTGGGGTGGAGGTGGCGGCCTGGGTCACTGGGACTGGTGGAGAGGCTGAGGGTCCTTGGGGTGTCTGAGTCTCTGAGACAGATGGGGGTATTAAGGATTCTTGGAGATATATGATTAATCCTGTGTGGTTGGGGGAAGGTGACACAAGCAGTGTGTGTGTGAGACAGTGTGGGAATGGCAGGACATGACACCCTGTGTGCATGTGTGTGTGTATAAGAAGACACTGCTGTGGCCATGATGACTGGGTGTGAGTGACAACAGATAGCATGTGTGGCAGTTGAGTGTTTATGGGGATGTGACAGCTGGTGCTGGTGTATGCATGGCACATAGGAAGTGACAGCCTGTATGGGTGTCTGACAGATGAGAGTGGGGGAAGGAGGAAGGGATCAGTGATGCACCCTCTGTTGACCCTGGAGGAGAGGGGACTGGGTTGGGGGGTCAGGGCTGCCTCCTGTCCAGCCGAGCAGCTGGCCAGGCAGGTGGGCGGGGACTCACTCAGCTGCCATCCCAGCATCCATTGTCCGAGGACAAGCGAGAGTTCTCTAGCCTTTGGTGACAGACAGCTGCTTTGGACTCACAGTGGGGGCAGGGATGAGGGAACTGGCCAAGCTGGGCCTAAACTTTCACCCATCCTCCTCCATTCTCTTTTTCAGAACCATCTGTGGCACCCCCAACTATGTGGCTCCAGAAGTGCTGCAGAGACAGGGCCATGGCCCTGAGGCTGATGTGTGGTCCCTGGGCTGTGTCATGTGAGTCCCCGGGTCATCAGCACACAAGGTGGGTGCAAGGGTGGGGCATACCTGCCACCTCACTCCTGATCCCCTTATCTCTGCACCCAGGTACACGCTGCTGTGTGGGAGCCCCCCCTTTGAGACAGTTGACCTAAAGGAGACGTACCGCTGCATCAAACAGGTTCACTATACATTGCCTGCCAGCCTCTCACTGCCTGCCCGGCAGCTTCTGGCTGCCATCCTTCGAGCCTCGCCCCAAGACCGGCCCTCAATTGACCAGATCCTGCGCCATGACTTTGTCACCAAGGTCTGTGGCTCACCTGACACCCAAGTGCAGCCTGCGTGTCCCCAGGGATTGAATGGGGACGTGCTGGTGATGGGACCCCTGGGGCCGCTCTCTGCTCACACGGCTCTCCTCCTCAGGGCCACACCCCTGACCGGCTCCCTGTCAGCAGCTGCGTGACAGTCCCAGACCTGGTACCCCTTAACCCAGCTAGGATTCTCTTTGTCAAAGTTACCAAGAGCCTCTTTGGCAGGAAGAAGAAGAGTGAGTCTGGGATAGCATTGGTTTTGAGGATGCAGAGCCCCAGGGGGGCTTATCCATACCTTGTGGGGGCATGAGAGTGGGTGCCTGTGAACCCCGGAGGAGAACATGTGTCATGCAGCACTTGAATCTGTCTGTATCATCCTGTAGGAGGCCGTGGGGCTAGACAGGGTACTGAGGGCTATCTCTTTGCCATCCAGTTAAGAATCGTTCTGAGGAGCGGAGCGAGGTCTCCTGTTTGGTGAACGGCCTCACTCGGATGTCGATTGGCTGTCAGGCCGCGAGGCCTGAGGTGAGGTGCTCACGTGGGCAGTATTCCCCTGACTCACCCCACACCCTAGCAGCTGCGGGAAGCCTGGGATAAAAGAGGCTAGTGAAGCATGTTGCCTCGTAGTGGCCTAATTGGCTGTGTCTCATTAGCCAGGTGGGGCTGACCTGGGGTTCCCCAAGTGACAGGACAGGACAGGGCTGGGCCATGGACTCTCAAGGATTTGGATTTTGAGGCCTATCACATTCCCTTCCCCTAACCAGTCCCAGGCTCCAGCAGCTTCTGGTCCTGCCCCCCTCAGCCTGGTGGAAACAGCACCTGAAGACAGCTCACCTGGTGGGACAGTGGCTAGTAGTGGAGATGGTGAGCAGCCAGGGGTGGATGAGAAGGTTGCTGGGGCTGAGACCAGGGACCAGGGGGAAGCAGCAGACAAAGGAACATGACCTGGGTCCTGGGGGACTAATTGATGCCTAATTGCCAGTGCCTTGTCCCTTTAGGATTTGAAGAAGGTCTTACTGTGGCCACAGTGGTGGAGTCAGCCCTCTGTGCTTTGAGAAATTGCCTGGCTTTCATGCCCCCTGGTAAGGTTGGGGTCTGGTACGTGTGAATGGTGGTGGGAGCTCTTCTGCTGGGAAGCCAGGAACGGGTCCTCACTCCTTCCTCACCCGTCACAGCGGAACAGAACCCGGCTCCCCTGGCACAGCCAGAGCCCCTGGTATGGGTCAGCAAGTGGGTTGATTACTCCAACAAGTTTGGCTTTGGGTATCAACTGTCCAGCCGCCGTGTGGCTGTACTCTTCAACAATGGCACACACATGGCCCTGTCGGCCAACAGAAAGTAAGTGCTGTTATGGGGTGCCTTGTATCCAGGCCATGGTACCCAGCAGGGTGTGGCTCCGTGTGCTCTGGGGCTTAGGGACCTGGGGTCTCTCAGGGGAGGGCTGTTGGTGCAGGGCTTCCTCTGACCTGTCTCCTCCTCTCCAGGACTGTGCACTATAACCCCACCAGCACTAAACACTTCTCCTACTTGGTGGGCGCTGTGCCTCAGGCCCTGCAGCCTCAGCTGGGTGTCCTGCAATACTTTGCCTCCTACATGGAACAACGTCTCATGAAGGTGTGTGGGCCCTGGTGGGGCACACTGAGGAATAAATCTGAATTCCTTCCTATTCCCCTTGGTGTAGGGGAGTAAGGGGGCTCAAAGGCAGAGGCCAAACCTCTAAGGGAGACACCAGTGGGGAGGGGTCTAGCTCCTGCCAGACAGCTGACCCCCTGTGCTCCCAGGGTGGTGATCTGCCCAGTGTGGAAGAGGTAGAAGTGCCTGTCCCCCCACTCCTGCTGCAGTGGGTCAAGACTGATCAAGCCCTACTCATGCTGTTTAGTGATGGCACTGTCCAGGTAAGAGCCCCTCCTGGAGCTGGGTGCAGGTCTGAGAGGCCGTATGCTGGGGAGGAAAGGACCTGGAGCCTGGGCTCTGGTCAGTGTCGCACTCCTGTGCACAGGTGAACTTCTATGGAGACCACACCAAGCTGATCCTCAGTGGCTGGGAACCCCTTCTTGTGACTTTCGTCGCCCGAAATCGCAGTGCTTGTACTTACCTCGCTTCTCACCTTCGGCAGCTGGGCTGCTCCCCAGACCTGCGGCAGCGCCTCCGCTATGCGCTGCGTCTGCTCCGGGACCGCTGCCCAACCTAGGCCCCAGCCTGCAGAGCAGGCAATGACCCAAGCCCAAGCCCTCAGGCCTAGGGCCTTTGCCTGTTAAGGCTGTGGCCCTTGCCTTGGTGGCACTCCCTGTCCCTTTGGTGCCTCGCTGGGGGCTCTGGGCCAAATCCCCCAGGGAATCAGGGACCAGCTTTACCGGGGTTGGAGGCTGCCTATCCTAGCTGCCTCCTACCCCTTCTCCAAGAAAAGCCTGAGCCTTAGCCCCCAGCTAGGGGGCGTTATTTATGGACCACTTTTATTTATTGACATTTATTTATTGGAATATTAGCTCCAGGAAGGGCCTCCTTCTGGGATAATAAACCATTTTTGCAGAATTTGGAGGCCTCCTTACTCGCAGTAGAGCCCGTGGACCGTGGCCACAGCGAAGAGTGAGGCGTTGGTGAAGGTGGCAGAGGCCAGCCCGTCGTGCGCCGCGTCCCACAATGCACGGCTGACCACGCGCACACCCTGGCCGGTGCGCGGCCCCAGCACCACGTTGCACACGAGCTTGTAGCGGGGCGGGCTGAATTCGCGCATGCGTATGCGCACGAGTTCGCACAGCTCCTGCGTCAGTGGCCCGGGCTCCGTGCCCGAGTAGCTGGCATTGTGCAGTCTCGCGGCCAGTGCCGCCTCCAGGGCACCCTGCGCTCGTGGGGCCTCCCAGCGCTCCCCGGGCGCAGGCTCTGTGCGGTAGGAGGGGGCCACCCGGCGGGCAGGAGCCAAGAGCAACCCCGAGAAACTAACCCGCGAACCTAGAGGGGGCACTGGGCCCAGGGATGGGCGTTGACCCCCAGGACCCGTGCCTGGTCCGGTCAGGGAGTTACGGCGTGAAAAGGATGAGACCCCACCCAGCACGGAGCTACGGCGGGAGGCCGGGCCTGGACCTGCTGGTCGTGCCTCATCAATGCTGGGCAGGCGGCCTGGAGGTCGCACCGGTGATAGTTTCAGCCCAGGGTCTCTGGCATTCTCCTCCTCCTGGCTTGTTGGGTGCACAGACCTGCCAGCCATGGACCTGCGGCTGGAAGACCCACACTTGGGCTGGATGGCCATCACTGGCCATCTTTGTACACCATCCAGTCTCTCACTCCAGGATAAGCGTTTTTACCCCATAACCCTTTCTTACCTGTGTTTCTGGACAGGTGAATCAAATAGTCTGGGGCGACCTGGCTTCCTAGGAGCTTAGAGGGGCTTAGAGGGTTAAAAGCAGTATAGATATAAGCAGGGTGAAGAAATGCTGCTCAGACTATCATCTAGGGCTAGTCCCTGCCCCCTGAGCTCCACTTTCCCCTGGGCACTATGGGAGTTTAGCCAAGTGAGTTCCAAATACACCTTTTTTCCCTTCCACCTGAGCTTGCCAGCAGATGTATCTGCCCTTTGCCTCAGCTAGACAGTGGTGCTTTCAGCCCCTAACCAGAGGGAGGAACAGACAGACCCAGCTCCTTCAACCCCACAGATCCTTCTAGCCCTGTGAGTAATAAATCCAGTCATCTTCCACCCCTACCTGCTCCTAGAGTGGCTGGCACAAAGATCTCCCCACACAAATGGCTGAGGCTGTGGGCAGGTAACTAGGGAATCTCCATGCTCTGCTTCTGGCCTCAGGCCCTTCTCCCGAAACTCCCACAGGCACCCGAGTCACCCACAGCCTTTGGCCTCCACGCTCTTCTAGCTCCACAGCCCTTGCCCAGCTGACTGGTAGATGGGAGAGTAATAGCCCCTTGCTGTGTTGTGGAGTTGCCATGGGTTGCTGAGAAAGAACTCCTCCCTTGGCTCCCTCCCTCCAGTTCTGCCTCTGGCCTATTAACCTGGGAGTGTGACTACTGTGACCGTGTGCTCAGCACTGTGTGCCTGACTCATCAGTGGAGAGAGCACAATAGGGCTGAGAGCCCAGGGGCTTGCTGCAACAAGACTACTCCTGGTGTGGGGGTGAGGGGGCAGATGTAGGAGGGGCTCTGGTCAGAAAGGGGTGCCCCTACTCTTCGGCCTTTGAGCCACCGTCCTCGGGAAGACTGGCTCTTCACTTGTGAACGAGTCAGAGGCCTGGGACATGGGGAAATCTTGAGGCTGTGGGGGTGGCTTCTTAGGAATCAGAATCTGGACCCACAGGAAGGGGCACGTCATGGGTTCGGCAGTCTCCCCATCAGCCTTAACAAGGACAAACATTTCCATTCTCTCGGTGCAGAGCTAGGGCGGGCCTTGGATGACTTCCTCAGTTCAGGGCTGTTCCTGGGGGAGGGGAGGTGGCAGCCCTGCTGGTGGGAGCCAGACCTGATGCAACAGGCAGGTGACCCAATACGGGAGTCCAGTGGTGACTCAACACCCAGAGTCCAGCCTCCTGCTGACCCGTGTGTCCTGGGGCTTGTCTCTAGCCACACCTCTTGTGTGCCTGAGTGCCCAGATTGCCACCCCACCACGGATGCATTTCAGTCATGCCAGAACTCATGACACCTCTGCCAGAGCTGCCACCTCCTCACCTGACCTCCTTTGGATGGGACAGGACTGCCCCCTTCCAAACAAGCCAGTTCTGGGCCCTGAACACCTTGCTTGTGGGTGAGGACTGTCCCTGTTGTGGGGTGTTCCCAGGCTTGGCTAACCTGATTCTGACCCAGTGTGCCTGTGGGGAAACTGGTGGGAGGAGCAGAGAATTTGAACTCTGAACCCAGGACAGGCAGGAGCCTTGGTGTTGAGACCCTCGACTAGGCTTGAGACCCACAAAAGGCTGAAGTTTTCCCTGGGCCTGTGGGGATGGGCGGGGCCTCCTCTCAGGCTACAGTTTCCCTGGAAACCCACAGGCTTCCCATCCAGCAGCTGCCTTGGCAGCCTCCCAGCCAGGGCCTCACCCGCAGCCAGGCTCTCCTTCCCGGTCTGGGATCCTCCATCTCGGCCTCTCTTGGCCCCCTTCCTGAGTCCTCATCCCCAAGCCCAGCCTCAGGCCTCCTCCACCCACTTCTCATGCCTTCCTCAGGAACCAGGGCCTTTCCTGCCCCATCCCTAAACTTCAGCTTCTCAGCAAATAGGCCTCCTACACTCCTGCCCCTCCCTGGCAGGCCTTTCTAGTCTCCTCACCAGCTCTAGGGCCTACCTAGCCAGAGAGCTCCCGCTCACCTACCGCCTCCCACAGACCAAAACAACTGGCCTCCTGGGCTATTCCACCTGTGTACTCCCCTGCCCTGGCCCACCCATGGAGGCCCCAGGACTGGCTGTACACGGGGAGACTGCACCCTTTTCCACAGCACTCCGGAGCCTCGTCAACAACCCCCTTTACAGGTGAGGGGGTGGGCCCTGTCTGTGGGTTTTCCCTAGTTGGCTCTGCTGGGCCCCAGGACTGAGAACACCCTGTGTACAGAAGAGGTGGGGAATTAGAACAGGCCCCTCCTCCCTGGTGAACTCAGTCTGGGGTAGTCAGGTGTACAGGATGGCGAGTGGCCACTCAGTTTCTGGGCTATCCTAAGCACCAGAGCTGGGGTGGCGGTGGGGGCTGGGACTCAGAGCCCGTGTGTGACCTCAGGCAAATGCCTTCCTTTTTTGGACCTCGGGCTTCTGGCAAAGAGCCCTCTGTTCCCTGAATCCTGAGAAACTGGATGTAATTTGAGTCCCTCCCTAGGGAGGCAGAGGAGCTGATGACCCTATTCTGGGAACTGAGGATTCACAAGAGGAACAAAAGCTCAAGATTGAGCCAGTCTCAGACAGGAAGCAGTTCAAGGGTGCTGCCTTGGGCTCACTCACTGCCTGCCTAGGATGCTAGTGGTTCTGAAATCAGAACTAGAATGCAGCCTTCTGTGCCCACTGCCTGAGCTGGCTTCCTCCCCAAGGGCTGGTGGCTTCCGTATTTCTACTGCTTTGGGGATCTGAGTCTGGTCTGAGTAGTGGGAACCCCAAGCCTTGGACCTGGGCTTAGGAGGCTCCAGGAAGCCCAAGCTTCACCTCCCACCTCCTCCCTACTATGTTGTTCAGAGGCCCAGAGGCTGGGGCCGGAAGCAATCATGAAGATGGAAAATGTGGTCAGGCCTCATCATGGGGCACCACTGCCAAGTCTGTCAGCCGCAGTGCACTCTGTCTACACTGCCGCCCCCACGACCTGCTGGGGGCGGCTGAGAAAAGCTGAATTTGATCCACGGAGAAGCCAAGAAGAGCTTCCCTTCCCCCATGCTCAGGCTGGAGAGGGCAGGGATATGTGGGCTCAATCTTGCTGCACCCCTGGTGCCCCCTCAGTGGTCAAGCATAGCCACCTCCTCTGAGACCCTTCGTGAGTGAGAAATCTAAGATTCAAAGGTAGGAAGTTAATTTGCCTGAGGTACCATAGGGTAGAGCTGGAACTAGAACCCAGACCTGTGTCCCAGACCTTTGGCTGGAAGGACTAAGCCCTGTCTCTTATATGACTGCTAAGGAAACGAAGGCCCAGAGTGGGCAAAGGCAGAACCTAGAGTTGTACCTGGGCGCTGGCTCTTTCCGCCTGGCTCTCTGCCCTTCTTTCCCACAGTGATGTTTGCTTTGTGGTCGGTCAAGAACAGCAGGAGGTGTTTGCCCACCGGTGCTTGTTGGCCTGTAGATGCAACTTCTTCCAGAGACTTCTGGGCCCGAAGCCAGGTCCTGGGGTGCCTAGCCCCATAGTGTTAAGCACCATACCAGCTGAGGCCTTTCTGGCAGTGCTGGAGTTCCTGTACACCAACAGTGTCAAACTGTACCGCCACTCTGTGAGCCCACTGGGCAGGGGTCAGGGTGGGAGAGGGAGGAGGTGGGCTGAAGGGCAGGGGAATCTCCCGTCCATTCCCCCAACCACCCACTCTGCAGGTGCTGGAGGTGCTCACAGCAGCTGTGGAGTATGGACTGGAGGAACTGCGAGAGGTGGGTGTCGATGGCAGGCCCATCTCGGTTCCCTTGCCTCTTATGGGCTCTGTTCACACCATGCCCCACACACTCTGGCCTGAAAAGGAACATGCACAATACAAAGAGAAAAACGGCTCTCTGTGTAAACAGGCATTTATGTGTGCCTGTATGCAAAGGGTGTGTGCCCTGTGGGGCCGTAGGGACATGTGGGATGTTTATGGCTGGTGCTATAAATGCCAGGACAAGTCAGCCTTGCTCCCTGCTCTTCAAAGAGAGATAGACACATGAAAACTCTTAACCCAGTGACATAAGAAGTGACAGAAAAGGGCAGATGGTGCTAAGACTGTAACAAGGGTCTCTCTAGTCTCAGCACTAGGGAGAGAGGAGGGGAAGACTTCCTGGAGGAGGAAACATTTATACTGGATCAGGTAGAATGGGTAGGAGTTTGTTCTGAATGGGAGTACAGTGCTGTTCAGACAGGATTCTAGCCACAGAGGCACAGAAGGAGGAAGTAAGACATCTGGTGTGGTTGGACTAAGAGTCTGAGAGGAGAGGGAAAGATGAGATTGGAGAGGGTGCCAGGGGCTGTTTCATATACTTTCAAGTACTTGAACATTTTTACCCAGAGGGCACTGGAATTCATTGGCAGTTTCAGGTAAGGGAGTAAGGGTTTGGAAACTAGGAGAAGGGATTGGGAGAGGATAGTTTTTGGGGTGGCAGTGGAAGCCCAAGAGAGAGGTACATGGCTTTGAGAGAAGTGGAACTGGTGGGAATCAGTGCTTTTCTGGGAGCGAGGCTGAGAGGGAGATGTCAAAGATGAAATTCAGTTTTTTTGTTAAAACAGAAGGTAAGTGTCCTGAGAGAAAGGGAGGGTGGAATTTTTATATGGCTCTTACCTAGTCTGATTAGTGGGTAATGTGGTAGAAAGTAAACTACTGGGCTTGGCTTTACTAGTTCCCATGCTCTCCAGGCTTGCCAGCTCTCAGGCCCTGGGTATTCTCGACCTGGGAGGTCAGGATGGGCAGGGGCTGCTAGAAACCTGGGTGGCTCACTGTTCCAAGCCTGCTGGCTGCCTGTGGATGGGGGCTGGGACCTAGGAGCTGGGATACCTTGGCCCAATCCGCGTTCATTTCTGTTCCCAGCTGTGCCTGGAGTTTGTGGTGCAGGTGCTGGACGTGGACTTGGTTTGTGAGGCACTGCAGGTGAGTGATGCTAGACAGGCTTTCACGTAGTCCTCATCGTGGAGGGCTAGGCTATATGGCCTCTCCAGTCTCCAACCTGCCCTCCCTCATTCTGCTCCTAGGTTGCCGTAACCTTTGGCCTGGGACCACTGCAGGAGCGCTGCATAGGCTTTATAGAGGCCCACAGCCAGGTACAGCTCCCCATCTTCATACTCCCAACCCAGCACATTTCATTCTGCTCCTCCCTGACTCATTCGAGGACCCACAGGAGGCTCTCCGGACCCGTGGCTTCTTGGAGCTGTCGGCGCCCGCGTTGCTGCCCCTGCTGCGCAGCGATGAGCTCTGCGTGGACGAGGCTGAGCTCGTTTTGGCAGCCCGGAACTGGGCGCGCGTGGGTGCGGTGAGCAGCAGCTAAAGAAGCATGGGGTGGGTGTGAAGGAGGCCTGGGCTGCAGGGACCCGTCGAGCCAGCCGTGGGGCAGGCGTCCCCGCCACCAGGGCTCAAGGCTGGCATTTGCAGGCGGTGCTGGAGCGGTCTGTGGCCGAGGTGGCGGCTCCGGTGGTGCGGGAGCTGAGACTGGCCTTGCTGGCCCCAGCGGAGCTGAGTGCCCTGGAAGAGCAGAACCGGCAGGAGCCGCTCATCCCGGTGCGGACCGGGAACCAGGCTCAGGTTCCTCGAGGGGCGCGGCCCACGGCCTGCGGGGAGAGGGAGGCACGGGGGTGGGGGTGGGGGGTCTCTGCGATGACCGGCCTCCTCCTGCAGGTGGAGCAGATCGTGGAGGCGTGGAAGTGCCACGCTCTGCGGAGAGGGGATGCAGCCCGGAGTGCCCCGTGCCGCCGCCGGAGGGGCACTCTGCCCCGGGAGCACCACCGGTATTTGGACCTGCCCTTTAAGTGACCAGAAGCCGAGATTTGAGGGGGAATTCTAGGCTGAAACTACAACTCCCGGCATGCTGGGCGCTCGCAGCGGCCTTCCGCTTCCAGCAGGCCCCGCGAACGTGACTCTAGGACCGCCGCTGTCTGCCCTGCACAGAGCCCCTAGGGTGGAGCTCCACGGGGAGGGCGGAGGTGGGCGTGGCCTAGCCTCCCGGCCCCTGCAGAACCTCAAAGCGATTATTTTTACACGTCATCCTTACTCTACATTCTGTCCCAGGGCAGTCTCGCCTTCCCCTTTTACTCTTATACCCGCCGTAATATCTTTTCGGTTTAGCTCCCTCTTTAGTTCCAGACCTTCCTCCTGAAGACCTCTAAATCCCCAGACACCTCAGACTCAGTCCAAAATTGAGCTCCCTGCTCATCTTTCCCCTGTTCTGCCCGCATCGTGTTTCTCATCTCCCTGGGTGCCCAAGCCAGAGACCTGGATCTCAGCCTTGCCTTATTCCTCTTCTTTACACATGCCTCCTTTGGCTTTTAATTTCTAGGAGACTGAGGGTAGCACAATATGCCACCTCAAAATATGCCTCTTGGCTTCAGGATTATTTTAAACTGATTATTTTGAGAAACAGAAACTCCGAAAACAAAGTTACTCTTTTGTAAGGAAAATTTATAAAGGAAGTCTGCATTTGTGTCTCCCTCTGTACCACCAAAAGAAGGATGATTAATTCGCAACGGAATCTATCAGTGGAGGAGGCAGCCATTGAAATCTGGTTAACAAACTTCACCCTTGTTTAGTTTTTCCTGGTGACCTCCCCGCACTTTACTTTGTCTTTAGGTGATGATGGTATGTAAGCAGGTATTTTAGTCCACCTTAGGGAGTTACTCATTTTTCCCTGGGTGTCTCCCTTGTATATATGCATTATACATGTTAATAAATTTGTTTTTCTCTTATTAACCTGTCTTTTATTACAGGGTTCTCAACCAAGAGCTCAGAGAGTAGAGAGAAAATTATTTTTCCTCTCTGACAAGACCCAGTTGGTTCAGCTCCTCAACATCTCCATTGCCCTCTCTGGACAAAATGCAATTTCATTTTCAGGGCTGTAACTCCGGGGTGAAAATATTTTCCCAACCTGGGGCAAAATACCTTTGAACTGAAATCAGCCAAAGGGAGAAATAAAGTGGGAGAAACCTGTTGATTGCTTACAAGCAGTTGTCCACTTCCACTCGGCCCTCTCGCCACTCAGGTGAAAAAAAGGGACCCTATCCAATCTCAGGTCCAGATATGCCCTTGCTCCCCCTTGTAATTAACTATTGATATGGAGATGGATTTCTTCTCTCCATCCCTTGGAAACACCTATTCATAAGGAGATGGACTAAGGGCAGGCTAGAGATTCTGGAAATGCTGCAATTTTACCCACATTACAAGTGGTTTCAAAGGTTAGCAGCTCTTCTCTCTACTACTATTGCATAAACTCACTGGTCCTGGAGGCACTAGTCCTCTAGCTCTGGATTTACTTAGTAATTGAAGACTCCCCATGCCACCTTTCATTCATTAAATATTTTGTCTTCCTAAGGATCTGAATCTCCCTGGACCTGGGACCTGGAGTGGTGCCTTATTCACTTCTGCTTCCCCAATTCCTGTCACATAATCAGTGCTCTGTGATGTTCAGTGATGACTTTTCCTTATTTCAATGCTGTTTTATTCCATAAAGGGTTTAAAGGAGCTGTAAAACAGGATCCTATCAATCTAAAATGAGGGACATTTGACTATTTGGAAGAAAGTAAAGCTAGATTGCTCTTAGGGATTTTATATGAAATGTGCATGGATTAGATAGTTATTTGGCATTATTTCTCAAGACTGAAAATGTGGCTACCAGCAGTACCACTTCATGACGGCACTGTTTGGATAATGAAATTGAAAACAATGTAGATGTCTTAGAGGACTGGTTAAATTACCTATGGTATATTCCTACAATGATACAAAAATATGTCTGTGACCTTTGGTGACAAAAGCACACTGCAGACCCAGTAGAGCATTTCTTTTGCTAAAGAAAAAGTTAGTGTAGGAGAGGCAAATGTTTTCCTTTCCTCTGAGGGACCCTGGCTGGGTCTGAAAATCAAACTGACAAAGATTAACAGGAGAAAAGCATACACATGGTAAGTTTTACATGACACAGGAGGCTTCATGAGGAACTGACCAGAAGAAATGGTCCAACTTGAGTATTTTCATGCTGGCTTTGAGGAAGAGAGGAGTCCTGGAGGAATATGATGGGTTAAAGAATGTGTAGTTAAGTGGAGGAAACCTAGCAAGGCTCAGTTAGGATTCTTCTGGAGTCTCGTTGGAGATGAGGATGGCTCCCTTCCTCTCAGAGTAGAGAGGGCACCTCTCAGAGGAGGCTCTTATGACCTGTTTGAAGGGAGAAAGGATGGTGTGGAAATGGAGTGGGGAGGGGAGGTTGGAGTGCCTTTCTTGTTTTCTCAAATTCCTTCAGCTTAAAATATTCAATATGCAAAGGTGCAATATTTTGGAGTACTGTATGCTGAACCCCACCAGTAACACACTGATTAAGAGTATACTATACCTCTTCTACAAGTAGTGACTCTGGCACCTTACTACACTGATGGATGATGACTTCAGTGGGGCATGGGGGGACTTGATAATATGGCTGAATGTAGTAACCACAATGTTTTTCATGTGAAACTTTTGTAAGATTGTATATCAATGATACCTTAAAAAAAAAAAAAAGAGTATACCTCTTCTGGAGCCAGGTTGCTGTGTGAATCCCAGGTCTACCACTTCCTGGCCTTGTGACTTGAGTGAGGCTATTTAACTTTTCCATGCCTCAGTTTCCTTATTTATAAAAGGGAAATAATAACAAAATCTATTTAGGATTTTTAGTAAGGTTGAAGTAATTTTGTAAAGTGCTTAGAACTGGTAGTGGGACAGATTAAATACTGTGTATGTGTTGAGAAATGTGCTCACTGGTCCAAACTTAGTAAGTGGACACAGAGACAAAGAGACCAGCAGAGCGAAGCTTTAATGGTGATCTTGAAAGATTGGGTGTCTGGTAAACATGCACACCCAGGGCAGTTGGAGCAATTTATTCTCTAGTACGCAGGTCTCTCCCCTGGTTCCTCACTGGTTGAGTACTACAGGGTTCACATTCTTTCCCAGAGATTGCCTAAGCAAGTTAGATCCATATTAGGCTTTCTTTTACATTTGTCTTAATTTTATTGGCTGGTTCAAAACTCCCCGACCCCCAATAGGCACAGGCTGTTCCTTTTCAGTTTCCTCTCCCCTCAGTCTGAACAACTTCCTGGCACGTGCTTCCCCACAGTGGGCTTTTTGTCCATATCTTACTGTTTAAATGTTTAAACCCCGTAGTGGGAGAAAATCACATTTAGGTTTTGCTTTTTCTAACAGTTGCTCCTCTTCTTATTTAAGAATTTCTAATTTTATTCCCAGGAATGGATTTCAACTTATGCCCATTCTTTTTCAAACTTTTCCAATATATATCTTCTCTCTTCTTCATAGTTAAATTTATTTTCTGATAACATAAGATTATTTTGGGTGTATGTCATAGGTATTTGTTCATGGCTGTGTGAGCCTCTGGGTCAGGCCTCTCACACAAGGGGTGACACAGCATCCTACAGCGGGTAAAACTCCGGCAGCTCTAACAAGGGATGTTAAAACAGAGGCAACTATACCTTTCCATTTTCAGAACCGTCCTTCTGAACTGTAAAAGGATCATCGATGCCAGAGTTTTCAACTAATTCATGAGCTAAAGTGGTGAGTCCCTGTAGAACTTTAGTAACAGTACTATCAGTGGCAGTATTACTTGGAATAAAAGTACATTTTCCTCCCAACACAACACAGACTCTGCCTTTTTCTTCTTACATCATGTCAATGCTATCCTAGTCTCCCAGGCCATCCTGCTGGTAGGATCCAATCGGCTAGCTACTTCTTGAAGAGTATCCCTGGTATAGTTTATAAACCTTTGTTGATATAGTAAATATAACTGATCCAGCCTACGTTTTTGTTGATGGTGGACCACCAAGAGTGCTGATTCAAACCCTACAGCTCTTTGGTTTCTAGCTTTAGATTCATTAGGGACTCCCCCAGGAACTCCTCTTGAGCCACTATATACATTTGAATCAAAGGATCCTTGCAATGATTTCTATGAGAAATTCTTTCCCCTTTGGGAGTGGAGAGAAACTCCAAGGTAAATGGAATAGGCAATTGGACTAAAGCACAAGTCCCAGTTCAGTTGGATGGCAATGAGCTGCCCAGGTTCCTCTTTCTGCAGTACCACCAAATATCCGCTAGGGGGATAAGTAATCTTGAGAAGTAACCCTCTTTAGAGACTTTCAGGACAGGGGTACAAATTAGCAAGTTTCCTGCACAGTTGTGAAACCTTCCTCTTGCCTAGAGAGACATGAGGAGTGATTTATCATCCCTATGGAAAAAGGAGATTGCCATCGGGTCTGACTTCTTTAGTGCAGGAAAAAGTAGAGACAAGCATGTGCAAATCTCATCTTCCCAAGTGTCCTTGTCCTATACAGGGCCAACATGCAGTTCATCCCACTGGGGTCTGTGTCCCTGCAGAGAAGGAACAGGACCACCTGCACCTGCGGCTGTCCTGCAGCACATGCATAATAGTTGCTTTTGTTCAAAGCTAGTGCTGAAAATTTGACATATTCTCCCCAGGCATTGGTGTTTCTGTAACCTGTCTTGATTTCCAAGAGTTTTGTTTTAGATCCTTTATCTCTGTTACAGTAATTAGTGTAGGGTCATTACTGGGAAGCTCTGGCTCATCTACCTCAGTATTAGGGGTGGTTACTATGCGTGAAGTCTTGTCTTTGATTAAATTAAGACCAAACCTTCCCACGGGATCTATTCCAGCAACATCTGCACCAAGTCCATAAACACGAGGAGCAATTACGGGGTTTGAGTCTAAGTCTTGAGGATTATTTATATTTAACAAGAGAGGGTTACATTGTTTGTCCTGGCAATTCTTAGGGGGAATGCCTTTAGCTAAGTGGAGCTTTCCTTTCAAAGGTTTTAAGTCTCTAGATCTCCCTCTCAGGCTGGCTAGGTGGGCTGGGCTGGCTGTCCATCCTTGCAACTGGGTGGTCCACCATACATCGCTCCAGGTAGGGCAAGGATAGGCCACATAGGCTTCCTGGCTTGGACTTGGTTCAGGACAGAGGTATTTATTTTCCCCAGAAAGTCGTCTTTGGTCATTTAAATCACCACAAGAGAGAATTTGACAGGCATCAAACCTAATGGTTTGGGGGCTTAATGTCTTTGTAATATTGATTACTAATTTGACAGGATAGTCAGGAGTCCCTTTCCAACTTAGGGTTCCTTGTGATTTGCCTATAAAATATATAGAGAGAAGAATAAAAATTAACATTTTTAGGTTATTTTTAGTTTTAGCCTTAAGAGTTGGTTAGCTACTTGGGACACCTTCCAATTCTCCGTTTTGTTTCCAGATCCCTCAGTTAATTTCTTTATTCTGGTGTAATGAGTCCAAGCCTTTTCAGCCGTCCTCACTGCAGTTTCTGTGGTCAGGAGCACTTGGGAGGGGCCTTCCCAGCTGGGCTGGAGTCGATCTTCTTTCCAGGACTTTACTAACACCAGGTCTCCAGGCTGGAAGCAGTGGACGAAGAACTATAGTGGGGGAAGCGTGGGCGAGGAGTCCCTTCAGCCTGAGAGAAGATAAGGTAGAAGACATGGCCAGCACATATTCCCTTAGAAATTAATCTTTTGTTTCCATGGTTGGCAAGTCTGTTGTCCTTCCTAGGTATGGCAGCCCATATAATAATTCATAAGGGTAAAGTCTTAAATGCTTTCGGGGAGCAGGTCTAATCCTTAGGAGTGCTATAGGAAGACATTTAGGTCCAAGGCAACTTGGTTTCTAATATTAATTTGGTTAAATGTTTCTTGAGAGCCTGATTCACTCTTTCTCCCTTGCCAGAGGATGGTGGATGCCAAGGAGTACGGAAATCCCACTGTACCTGGAGTGCCACCATTATTCCTTGTGATACTTCCAAGGTAAAATGACTCCCGTTGTCTGAGTCAACATTTTCTATTAACCCAAACCTAGGAATCACTTACTCTAAAGGTAGTTTTATGACTGATCCTGCAGTTACAGGGTAAGCCTCTACCCAACCAGTGAGATGATCAACAATCAATTATAAATATTTAAGCTTTCCCACTTTTGGCATCTCAGTAAAGCCAATTTGGATACTCGGTAACAGTCTTAGTCCTGGGAGTCTTCCTCCAGGTACTGGCTTTCTCATACTCTTTTCCTTAATTTTTTGGCATGTTATACAACTCCTACAAACATGTTTAGCAATGGTGTAAATACCAGGACACCCATAAACTTTTAGCAAAACAAAGCACCACACATTGCCTGGGGACCCCAGTGGCTCCCTTTATGTAACACGCTCATCAGCTCTCTCGCAATAGGTCGGCCGATCCTTTCCCTCCCATCTGGTAAAGTCCACCGCCCTTTCTCATCTCGAGATGCCCCAACTTCCTGCAGCTCTTTAATTTTTTGGAAAATTTTGGGATCAAGGTAATTTTGGGGATATCAGAAGTGACATTTAAAAGTCTAATTTCACCTTTAGATGCAGCCTCTTTAGCAGCTGCTTCAGCAATTCTATTACCAGTTGCTTCGTAAGAATTTCCTTTTTGGTGACCATTTATATACATTATAGATATTTCAGTTGGAACTAAGAGATTTTTAAAAAAAATCTTTGATTAATTCTCCATGAATTAAATCCTTTCCTTTACTGTTCATGAGACCTTTTTCTGTCCAGATTTTTCCAAAGGCATATTTGGAGTTTGTGTAAATCATACCCTCCCTATCTGAAAGTTTTAAGGCTTGATTAAGGGTAAAAAACTCACAGGTTTGGGCTGACCAGTTACTAAGTGATCTTTCTTTTTCCCAGACAGATAACTGATCTCCATCAATAAGGGCACACCCATTACGTGGTTTGCCCTTATCATCAGGGAGGACCCATCTTTAAACAGTTTCATACCCCCACCCATAGGCCTGATTTAGTCTGATATTCTATGAGGTCCATGCAATTGTGACTCAATTCTGACCGGCCTTCAGCCTCTCCTGCACATAGGAAGCTGGCCGGACTGCGACAGGCATCTGTGGTTACTATCAGGTCATCTCTGTCAAGAAGAATGGCTCCATATTTTAAAATTTGAGAATCTGTTAGCCAGCACCCAGCCCGCTGATTGAGTGTGGCCTGGACCTGGTGAGGAGTACAGACGGATTCCTCCTAAAGTTAATTTCCTGCTCTTCTACTAGTAAGGCTTCTACCCTTGAGAAACAGGGTCCAATAGTTTAGACATAAAGGCCATCGGGTGTTTCTTTCCTTCCCAGGTTCGGGTCAAAACCCCTATAGCAGAGCCTTGTTCAACCATAACAAACAAGTGAAATGGCTTTTCTAAAGACAGACTGCCAAGCCTGGGTGGTGGCTAAAGATTGCTTTAATTCCTCTAGAATTTGCAGTTCCCCTGGTGTCCACTGGAGAGCGTCTGGCTCTCCCTCTGACAATTTAGAATACAAGCTTTCAGCGTTTTGCGCATGAGTCAATCCATAATCTACACTATCACACCAGTCCCCCAAATTTTCTAAGTTCCTTCTTTGTTTTTTGGCTTGGGGTAATTTATGATTCCAGAAATTCTTTCTGGGTTGATTCTTCGTTTCCTTTCACTTATAAGATGACCTAAGTATTTAACTTTCTTTTCTACAAGTTGAAGTTTATTTCTAGAGACTCTCAACCCCTTTTGTCCCAGGAAGTTAAGCAAATCTATAGTGGTTTCAGACAGTCTTGTCTTTTCTTCCCTTGAGATTAATAAATCATCTACATATCGCAGAAGCTGCATTCCTTGCACAGGTTCAAAGTCCTCTAAGATGGATTCTAAGATTTGACTGAACAAGTTGGGGGCCTCCATCAGTCCCCCTGTGGCAACATGGTCCAATGACATTGCTGTTTTGTTTCCATTAATGGAATTTTCCCATTCAAAGGCAAAAAGGTCTTTGCTATCCAACTTAGTGGACAGGCCCAAAATGCATCCTCCAGGTCTACCGCACTAAACCATTTATGTTTATATGGTATTTTACTCAGGATGGTATAAGGATTAGGAACTACAGGATGTCGGGTCTGGACTATTTGGTTTATAGCCCAAAGATCCTGCACCAACTGGTATGACCCATCAGGTTTTCTCACCAGAAAGATGGGAGTATGGTATGGTGACGTACAAGGCTCCAATAGACCATCCTTAACAAAGCCTTCTGTTACGGCTGGAGACCTTTTCTCCTTCAAGGGGACTGGATATTGTCCCCTGCAAGTATTTTCACCTGGTTGTTTCAAAGTTACTTTTATCAGGGAAACTTGTAAACTTCCCCTATTTCCTTTCTTAACCCATACCCTAGGGTTTATTCTCTTTTCTTCCTCCTCTGTGAGGCAGGCCATTAGAACCTTCATTTGGCCCTTCTCTATTACTAGACCCAGGCCTGAGTAATTAAACCCCTTCCCAAGAAATTAGTTTCTGCTTCTGGGACATACAAGAATGATCCCTTTGTAATCTCATTTTCTAATTTGATTACAGTTTTTTCAAAAATAGGAACTTGGAATCCCTCCCATTTCAGGTCAAAATTTCACATTTTGTGGCTGAAAGGTCAAGGAGGAATGGGCTGCCCCTGTGTATATTAAAAAGGTTGTGTTTTCTTCTTTAGGCCCCACCTACAGATTTATCAAGGGCTCCTGGTGGGGCCTAACAAAGGGGAACTCCTGGCCTCCCTCATCTTCATCTAATGCCATGAGGGAGTCACTTCTCTTTCCCCTAAAGGGCACTCTCTCTTCAAGTGACCTGATTTTCCGCAGTTAAAGCATTTCTTGTCTCCTTGTGGACACATCCCTCTTTTGTTCTCTCTTTTCTGATTCCCTCGTCTTCTCTGAGGTGGTCCTCCGCCTCTCTTCTCAATTACTTTTTTTATGGTGGTCACCATAATTTTTACTTTCTGCTTCTGCTTCTCTTCCTCTCTTTTAACACTTTCTGAGCTTCCCTTAGTAATTCCTCAATGGGTTTCTCCATCCATCTAGCTTCTGTAATTTCTTAGCAATATCTAGCTAACTTTTGGTTACGAAATTAACCTTTAGAAGGCCCTGTCCTACCTGACATTCTGGGTCAAGTCCTGAATACTTCCTCATCTGGTCCCTGAGTCTCTGTGAAAATGTGCTTGGGTCTCTTTACTCTCCTATTGGACCTCAAACGCCTTAGAAACATTTTGAGATCTTGGGGCTTATTCTCTGATTCCGTTTATAATTAGTCCTCGAAGATCCTGCATTCTAGTGGATCATTATTATCCCACCCAGGATCTACATTTGGGAACTTCTGTTCTGCTGGCTGGACACAGCAGCTCTCCTGATCACCCCGCTCTCCTCACCAGGGAATAGGACATTCATGATGGACATCAGCTCAATCCAAGTATATTGGTCTAGTTGGTCCGCTAGGCCAAGGGGATCTTATAACAATGGTTTCATTTCCTTCTTGAAATTTCTCACCTCAGTACTAGTGAGGGGAACATGAACAAACTCAATTTCCCCTCGTCCTTGTGGAACCCCTCTCAATGGAAAAATCTTAGGGGTTCTGATGGACTCCCCAGAGGAAGGGGGAACCTCTCTAGGTCCTTCGTACATTGTTCTAATTCCCCTCTAATGTTGGAATAAAGGGTTGTAGGGGGCCTGGTAAGGGCCGAAGTCCCCTGATTCTCAGATGAATCTGAGTCTCCTGCTTGATCTTCCTGGCATTGTTCCCCTTGATTCCCAGCCTGAGGATTATAAAGCGGACGGAGACAAGAAATTGGGTGCCAGGATTTGTCCTGGGAAACCTTTTCTAGTTGGTCCTCCTCAGCTTTCCCTTCTCAGTTGTTTTGGGAAATATGGACAGCGCCCTTGGTGACCAGCAGAGGGCGTAGTCACACTCCTCTGGCGAACTGGAGGCTCTGTCGCGCACACGAACTAGAGCCTGGCAAAGCCAGTTTTCACCCGGTCCAAACTGCGGCCAGAAAACCGATGGCTTACAGATCGGTTCTATAGCCCAGACAAAACAGCAAAATTTGATCATTTTCTGTTTTTCCTTAGCCCCAGCTCAGGAGGCGTCCCACAAGCACGGTAACATTCGCCCCGGCGGGCTATCTGGGGGAATTTCAACGGACCTCTTCTGGCTCCCTTTCCCTGGTTCCCTAGGCCTAGAATTTTTATTTACCATCTTTCAAGAGGTCCCTGTGTCTGAGCTCCCTGTGTACTCAACCCCCTTATAATGGAGGTTTCCTGCACACCCCGAGATTCGTTTTCTCGGTCTCCCGCAGTCTCCTTTGCGGGAGAACGGAACCGCGGATCGGGACTCCACACTCGCTTCATATCCAGGATCTGTCTCAGCCAGACACGCTCCACCTCCGAAAAATGCCCAACCACCAAGGCAGTACTTAGAGCCCAGTTTTCCTACCTTGGCTCCTGCACAAGATTGCCTGGTTGCCGCGGTGCCTGCCTTTCCTCTTCTGTGTCAGGTGGCTGTCTCCTCACAACAGTCTGGGTTTTTTTTCTCGGTTTCCGAGGGAGGGTGAAACACCCAGACAGAGCGGGCTGCCCTAAGTCGGGCAGGGCTTCCCCACTCCCCTTGGGCCCCCACTTCCACGGGCACGAGTACTCCGGATGAGACCCCAAATTGTGAGAAACGCGCTCACTGTCTGAACTTAAGTGGACACGGAGACAAAGAGAACAGCAGAGCGAGGCTTTAACGATGGTCTTGCAAGATTGGGTGTCTGGTAAATACGCACACTCAGGGCAGTTTGAGCAATTTATTCCCTAGCAGGCGAGTCCCTCCCCTGGTTCCTCATTGGTTGAATACTACAGGGTTTACGGTCTTTCCGGCAGTCCCCAAATGGGCAAAGCCGTTTCTTCTCAATTTCCTTCCCCCTCTCAGCCAGAGCCAACAACCTGGCCTGTACTTCGCCTCGTGATTTTTTTTGTCAATATCTTACTGTTTAAACGTTCAAATCCCTTAGAGGGAGTAAATCACATTTAAGTTTTATGTTTTTTCTAAGATAGGTGTTAGAAGGAAAACCCATTCATTTGTTTCACAAAGACTGAGAGGTTGTGTGCCAGGCATTGATTTAGGGTCATGGAATTAATCAGAGAACAAGTGGAGGATTGGGACAAAGTGGGAGGGCAGAGTGGAGACAGAAGGCCAGAGAAGAAGAGTTAGAAAGGGGGCTTCTGCACGAGTCTATCAAAAGCTCTTAGACCACGGCGGTAGCAGTGGAGGAGGTAGTATGAAACATATGCTTTAAATATGAGAGTCAATGGACCTGCTAACGGCTGTGAACTTGGAGGCCACCAGCCGCGAGATTTAAGTAAAGCCGTAGATGTGCTCCCACAGCAGATTGGAGATAGGTAGGAGAATTTAGGTCTGAGGTATTGGTAACTAACCCCATCCTTTTCCTCACCCTATTTTTCTGTAAGGAACTTCTCACCAAAAAGCGTCTAACTCAATACCCGTACTGAAACCCACACAGCTAACTACAAGTATTACGAAAAGGAGTACCAATAAACCCAGCGATGATTTCTGTTTTTCAACTTCCAAAGTAGCCTTGTAAAAACAAGGCCTCAAAAAATTGGCTATAGACTCATAACTGTTTCTCTCCACGGAAATCTTTAGTAAAAGGCGAAAGATTTATGCGATCTGAAGAGAAACCAGAGTGTATCTGTTTGTTTCCGCTTGGAAGCTTCCAGAGCAACACAACACTCAGCACACTTGTGGTTGTTCAGTGCCTGCGCAGTTCGCACTCCCGGCATGGAATACATATAGACCTCATCTTTCTAACGGGCAACCTGCCCCACAGCAGTGGACAGACCTCCATGCGGCTGGAACTCAAGCGTCGTAAAACTATCTTTTCGTGGTGCATCATGGGTATGGAGATTGTAGGCGGCACAGTGCTAGTCCGAGACCCCGGCTGCCCGGGGCGGGGCGGCGCCGCGGGGTCCCCTAGGCCGCGCGGCTCTGTTTCTTCTCAGCCGGTCTGCCCGGGAACCCCCGCGTTACCTGGATAGGTAAGTGCGTTTCCTGCCGGTGCCGGTGCCGAGTCCCTCACGGAAGCTGGGATGAAGTATTAGTGTCAGTTGTTGAAATTCAGACCTTCATTCCATACCCGCAGGGTTTCCCCGATTCTAGGGACAGAAGCAGAAACGGTCGAGGGCGGGCACTGGGGCCGTGGGACCAACTCTGGGGGCTGGCATCCACTTAATCTTGACAGAGTGTACGGCCAAGGGGAGGCGGGAAAGTGTTCTAGGCAGAGAACGGGGTGTGTGCGGGCAGCATGCAGTCATGCGGCCTGTCGAGAGCACAGCGGGTGTGCGAGTGAGGGCGTGAGTGCGGTCGGGCGCTGTCGCGGAGACAGCCGGGGTGATGGCACAGGCTGGATCGAATGAGGCCTGGAAAGGGCTTGGGTTTTGTCTTGTCAGAGATGGGGAGGTGCGAAAGGGTGTTGAAGGCAGAGGGCTGAGCAGTGTGAGGTGCCACACCGGGTGGGCTGCCCTGCAAGCACTGGGCCTCGTCGCCGAGACTGGATGTGGTCAGTGGTCGAGGGCTGACCAGGCCTGGGGTAGGCCCACTCCAGCTGGCTAGAACTGGTTCCGCTGCTGCCGGCCAGGACACCGTCCGTGTTTCAGGGTCATTTCATAAGCACGCCATCAGAGCAAAAACTTTCAGACATCTCTACAAACTACAAAAATAGCACCTATGACATGCCAGGTCATTTCTTATGTAAATATTATGATTTTAAATCCCTAAAGAAAAAAATAGCACCTTACAAGATAGGCTCTAATCTTCCCATTTCACTGATGAAGATGCTGAGGCTCAGGGAGGTTAGCTAACTTTCCCAGGTCGCTCAGCTGGTAAGAGGCACAGGGGGCTGACATCTTTTGTGCTATTCCAGCCTGATGAGCTCTCACCACCCAAAAGCCCCTCCATAGTGACCCAAACACTACTGACAGGAGTCCAGGCTCCATTCCTGGGGTGTGCTGGATGCAACCCTACTCTCTTACAAGCCAACTACCTCTTTTATCTTTTCACTTTTGCTCAGAACATGATTTCCTGGCCTTTGGCCTAGTGGGTGGGGTGTGAGAAGGCCGTGCTTTTGGGTGGGATTGTTCCTGGTGAGTGGGTGGCTGGAATCCAGGCCAGCTGAGCCCTGGGATAGCTGGAGAAGGGCGATAAAAGACCACCCCCTTCCCACGGGCAGAGGCGCTGTACTCTAGCCCAGGGCAGTGGCCAGAATCTCCAAGGCCTCTGTATAGTGCTGCTGTTTAACCTTCACAGAACAAGCAGCTTAACCACAGCACCTCACTAGTTGCTAGCACAACCTCATTTCTGAACAGTTCCCCTACTGATGCTGTGGCTGTCTGGCCAAAGATGCCTCTGGGGTGCCAGGCTGACTGCTGTCTTGCAGAAGCCTCTGCCTGGGAGGTTGACCTGGGCTCAAAACTCCTAAAATATCTCCCCTGACCCTGCTGTCTGTCCCCATCTTTGCTTCAGTGGCCACTTCCCTGATCTGCTTCCACTTTACCTCCCACCTGTTTGCATGGTTATGCCCCTCTGCCAATGCCTGCCATGCTGCTGAAACAGGAAGGCAGCCGACAAATCTGGAGAGGTGGGCAGGGCTGGATTATGATGGCTCTGAAAGCCACACAAAAATGTTTGTGTCATTTTTGTATACTAAGCACTTAACCCATACCTATTACCAAGTATATGATCAACATGTGTTTGCTGAACTTCATCTTCACTTGCCAGATAAATAAACCAAAGTTACCGGACAAAAATTTAGAACCCTTCCCATCCAGGACTAGAGCAGCTCCAGGACCTTAGGCCCTGACACCTCTACTTGCAAACTCCCAACTCTGTTGCAAAGAAAAGCAGCAAAGTCATGTGAGATGAGTTCATACAGAATATATTTTCTCTTTAAAAATAAAACTTTCAGCATAGCTAACAGCTATACAAACTACAAAAATAAACATCTTCATATAAATAATTTATATGGTAGGTGGTGGGCAGGGAAACAGCCTGTCCAGGAGTCACTTTGCAGTGGGGGGCCAGGACTGGCAACAGGTGCTAGAGATTCCCCAGGCTTGGTCGGCTGTGGGCAGCAGTGTGGGGAGGGAAGTGGCCATGCCACAGCCTTAGGGGCTGGCTTTCATGCCCCCAGACCCAGGCTGGGGCCTGGCCCAGAGGGTGGTGGCTCTGTGTGGCTCTCAGGAGGCCTGTGATGGCCCAGGCAGGGAAGGGTGCAGGCAGACAGCAGCAGCAGGGCCTCCAGGAGTCTGTCCTGCATTCAGTAATCCACCCACTGCATCCCAGTGACTTCAGGTGGCCCAGGCAGGGTCTCCATGCTCCAGTTGTTCTCACGCAGTGGCCAGACATAGTCCCCTAGAGCTGAGGTTGCTGGAGCCACCGGCAGCTGGTATGGCAGCAGGGGACCAAGTGGGCTCATCGGAGGCTGGGTGGATGTAGGCACCAGGCAGCGGGGGTGGGTGGAGGGCCACGGTCATGGAGGTAGTCACTCTGGCAAAGCTTTGGGGCAGGGTAGGGGATACCCCCCACCTGAGCCCTCCTCCCTGTGCAGCTGGCGGGCTCAGGACCTCTGGGTTCTCCTTGTACATCTGTACCACCTGGGGGGAGACCCCAACCCCAGTGAGCCCATGGGCCACCAGGACCTCAGACCCCCTCAGACCTCCCTGGTGCCTCACTGTGTTTGTTGGGAAGCTGGGCCCTTGTTGGCCTCCAGCTAGATGAGAGCTGACAAGGGACAGGATTGACAAGGCCTGGGGCAAGCCTGTGCCTGGCTCAGACCTTAAAGGCTAGGTGGGTCCCAGAGAAGGCAGGAGAGCTGAGGGGCAGGGGCAGGGGGTCTGGGAAAGTGGGGTTTGCCCTTTGCGGCTGCAGGTGCCTGATAGTGGGGAGGGTACTTGTGAGTTGAACCTTGTCTGCTGGCCACTTAAGGGGTTTGTCCTGGCCCTTCCCGTCCCATCCCTGGGCTGGGAGCAGAGGGTGAGGGTGGTCACCTCCGGTGGGGGACCCAGGATGGACAGTAACACTGGCAGCAGCACAAGCCCATGCAGCAGGCCCAGGAGCGTGAGAGCTGTCAGCACCATGAAGAAGTACCTGCGGGGGTGGGTGGTCAGCTGGGGGCCCTGCAGCCAGTGCCCGCAGGCCTTGCTGCCTTGCCCTGAGCTCTCCCTACCTTATGATGAAGTCAAAGTTGGAACCAGTAAGCATGAGCAGACCCAGCAGTGTGGAGACGGCCCCGTCGGTAACCGGGGCAAATGTGTGCTCTAGGGCACGGGTGGCTCGCAGGTTCCGGCTGCCCTGGGTGGTCAGGAAGCCCTGGGGGAACACAGTGGTCCTGGGGCTGCCCTTCAGCCGACCATGGACCGCTCACCCATGCCCCCAGCTTCTGCTCATCCATCCCGAGGGCTCACCCTGGCCCACAGAAGGTCAGGTGAACTGAGTTTCTGGGGACTGCCCCAGAATGCATGCATGTGCCCATTCGGGTAACACTGTGTAGGTGTGTCTGGCGAGACGCAATGTCTAGAACAGATTGACCAAGTACACCATGTCACCTGTTTGGTAGTAAAGTTTGTATTCACATGTGGTCTGTGGCTGCTTTTGTGCTGTACTCTGGTTGCAGCAGAGACTATATGACCTGCCAAACCTGAAATATTTACTATCTGGCCTTTTATAGGAAAAGTTTGTTGATCCTTGGTCTAGAAGGATGGACACCAAAGTGGTAACAGTTACTTCTCAGGGTGGCATTTCTGAGTTCTAATTCTCTCTTTGTACCTTCCTATATGCTGACTTTCTCCCTATATATTGTTCTGATAATCCAAATAATAATGGGGCTGTTACGGGGGAAAAGAAAGGGGCTGTTTCCACCTGGTGTGTGGCCCCACCCCACTGCCACTCCTTCTCTGCCAGAGACCACAGGCTTTGGGTGAGGCCCACGCCTGCCTCAGTTCCCCCATCTCTGCCTGGGTAGCCTCCCTCCTTTATCGGCACTGCCATTCAGCTACCATCCCGTTTCTCTGACCCCTTTCACAGTCAAACCAAAAGAGTTGTTGGTTCCCATTTTCTCACCTTCCATTCTGTCCTTACACCATTCTAGTCAGGCCTTTGTCCCTTCCTCTCTACTGAAATGGCTGCTTAATTATTTGTTTACTTGTTTATTGTTTATCTCTACACTCCAGAATATAACCTCCTTTAAGGTAGAGCATGTGTGTTTTGCTATTATATCCCCAATTGTTAAATTGTACCTGGTATGTTGTAGGTGCTTGATAAATATGTGTGCAATACCGATCGGCCAGCCCCCACCCAGGGCCTGTGCTCTCACCAGAGCCACGTGGACGGTGAACTCCACACCAATGCCTACAGAGGCCACGAGGATCACCACGGGGATGGCGCTCAGCTTGATGCCCAGGAAACCCATGATGCCGAAGAGCTCCATGGTCATCATCGCCAGGACCAGCACCTGGGGAGGGAAGGGCTCACCCTGGGCTCCTGGGGCACCGGGGGTGGGACGGGCAAGGCGGGGAGCCACAGGTCTCTCAGACCTGGCCCTGTGAAGACTCACTATGAGGCCGGCAGTCCAGGGGTTGAGCAGCAGGAGGGCACAGACCAGAAAAGTGCCCACCAGCAGGACGCAGACAGCCAGCAGGAAGCAGCGCCGCAGGCCCAGATACTGCTCCCAGAAGAGGAAGGGGGAGCCACTGGGGTAGGCACGCACCCCGGCCCGGCCTGCCTCGGCGCACGCGGCCCGGGCCCCCTCGATGGCCTCCACGAAGTCTGCGGTCTTCTGGAGGCCGCGCAGCAGGAAGGGGAACTGGGCAAACTCCAGGGGCTGGGCTGCCGGGACTGTGGAGGGGAGGGCGGCAGGCAGAGGGGGAGTGGTGGCTGGTGAGAGCTGGTGAGGACCAGGAGTCGTACGCAGGGCCCCAGGGCAGGGTCTGTGCAGGCGGCTCCCCGGGACTCACTGCGAAGGTTCTCCCCGGTGCTGTCGTACTTGTCGTGCAGCCACTCAGGAGGTGGGGGGTAGAAGTTTGCCTGTGAGGCTGCCAGACCCAGGGGGTCGCTGCTCACCCACACAGTCAGCCCCACATAGAAGAGCTCAGGTGGAATCAGTCCCTCCTTGTCTACCAGCTTCCTGGTGGTCAGCTGCAGAGGCAGAGAGGCCTGTGTCCATGAGGCTTGGAACACAGACCCTCTGTGTTTCCTGACCCTTCCAGCCCTCTGCCAACCTGGCTGAAATCCAGAGGCTCCTGGTCATCTCCCGTCTGGATGAGCAGCTTGTAGGCCAAGGCCCCATCCTCAGAGCCATTGCGGTACGAGTGGCGGGTAATGCGGCCAGAAGCCCAGTCCTGGTCAAATGCAGCCTGGATTCCTAGGGGACAGAACGGTAGGCACAGTCAGCCTGCGGCCCCGGGGCTTCTGCCTGCACAGCCCTCCCTGCCGGTCTCCTCGCCTCTTACCTTGTAGCCAGTTGCAGTAATAGTGCAGCCAGGTTCGGGGTGCCTGGGTGGCAGGCGGGGGTAGCACGGCCTTAAGGGAACTGAAGCGCTGGTGCAGATCAAAGAGGGCACGTTGGGAGTGGGCGTAGTCAAAGCCACCCTGTGTCACCAGGGCCACCTCGTACAGGGAGAAGTACCTGAGCTGGGTGCTCAGGAAGGCATGCTCCTTGGTGCCCCGAGGCACCACATCTGTCAAGGCCAGCCCATCCTGCACCAAGGTTGCTCCATAGAGGCTCAGGCCCAGAAGAGCCCCAAAAAGCACCAGCACCATGGCCTGTGGGAAATGGTGATTAAGTTGGAGGCCTAGGGATGCCCCCATCTTTGAATAATGGGCCAAGCCCTCTGCCCTTCTTGGGGCCCAGAGATGCCTAAGCCTCTGCCCTGACCTCCCCTGACTTCTCCAGGCCTGGAGTCTCACCTTGGTGTGTGGCTGGAGCAGCAAGGGCGCAAAACAGCAGCGGGCAAAATGGGCGAGATTCCAGTGGTCACAGGGCAGGGACTTGCCGGCTGCCTTCTGCATTGTCTCCTCCTCCTGGCCTAGAAGGTCCCGTGTGGACCCTCCTGGGCTGAAGAGCTCAGAGCCCAGTGGGTCAGAAGGTGGGGGCACCAGGTGGGCTTGGGGAGGCAGGATGGTGACCACATGCTGGCTGCTGGCTTCACAGTGGGCAAAGGCTTGAACTGTGGCAGTCAGGTGGGCAATGCCCACTGGTACCATCCTGTCCCCCAGCTCCTGGGGCAGGATCTGAATCACCGGAGCAGAGCAGGGGCTGGAAGAGGGAGAGAGGTGGTGACAGGACTGGGCCTGGAAATGCTGGCGAGGGGATAGGATGGATGGGGCCAAGGGAGGAAGGCCTGGTGGGGTAGGGTGGTGGGGGCGGTGCAGGGACAGCACCTTGAGAAGCAGCAGAGCACGTCGAGGCGCTGGCAGTGTCGCCGCTGCAGGTCCAGGCTGAGGACCGCGGGGAAGACAAGCATCACGGCTGCAAAGTTGCAGCCAACAACCACGGCTGCCTAGGGGGCGGACAGGCAGGGCACAGAGGCCGCATGAGGCATGTCCCCGCTGCATGCCCACCCTGAGCCCAGGCCCTGCTCGGGAGGCCTCACCTGCAAGGAGAAAGCCCGCAGTGCAGGGATGGGAACAAGGGCGGCCATGCAGAAGGCAGCCATGTTGGTGATGGATGTGAGTGCCACACTGGTGCCCGTGCGCTGCAGACACTCGCCGGTGCGCTCCTGCTGGGGCGGGGGGTGGGTGGGCATGGGGCTTCAAGGTAGAGTGAAGGGGAGCTTCGGGAACTCGGGATGGCAGAGGAGGGACAGAAATCACACAGCTGCTGACATTTCTTGGGCACCATGCATAAGTTCTGCATGCTGTTCTAAGCATTCAACTTGAATTACCTCGCCGATCCTCACAACCACCTCATAAACACTTACTACCCCTGTTTACAGATGCGGCAACTGAGGCACAAAGTTAATTACCAGACCCGGTGCTGAACTGCCTCAGGTGAGCCAGCCTGGAGGATGAGGCCTCACCTGGAGACTGGTGTCTGGGGGAGCCTCTGTGAAGGCATGTGCCAGCAGGAATATGTCATCCACGCCGATGCCCAGTGCGAGAAAGGGCAGCACCTGGAGGGGCACAGGGGTGGGCAGCTAGAGGAGCCGCGGAGTCCAGGCTGTGGGCACCCAAGTCTGCCCTGCAGCCCTGCTGTACCTGGGTGGTGGCAGCGTTGAAGGTGATGCCAAGCAGGGCACAGAGCCCGAGGCCTGAGGCCACTGCCAGGGCCACCAGCAGCACCCCAGCGAGGCCCACGGTGCCCTGGGACTGGGCACAGTCCCACCGCAGCATGGTCACACAGGCATAAGCCAGCTGCGGGAGAGAGGGCGCAGTGTCAGGTGGGTTCCCATGGTGGGCACTGGGTGCAGGTGGGGGCAGGGTGCCAAGAGCAGGACCCACCATGAGCAGATAGCCTCCTGCCACACGGGCAGCACTGACTTCTGAGAATGCATGCAGGATGTCATCCAGGGTGGTGGAGGAGAAGGCATGGACCTGCTGGGATGCATTCTCAGGCAGGGCCTCCTGGGCCAGCTGGAGAAACAGCATGGGTCTGAGGGGCAGGAGGCAGGAGCGGCTTCAGGGCACTGCCTTTGCCCTGCTCCACACTGACCTGCACGAAGCGCCGCTGCCAAGCCTGCAGCACAGTGGCGGCCTGCTCCTCGCTCCAGCCAATGTCATGCGTTTGGTAATCACCCCGGAAGTGTTCGTATAGCTGGCGGGGACTCATCAGCAGGAAGGTGCTCTGCAAGGCCTCTGCCCTGGTGAGGGGTACAGGAGAAGCAGGGCTCAGAGCTGGCCTGGGCATCCAGTGGGGGCATGCAGGGGCCTTTTGCCAGAGCTGCCTGGAATCAGAGTGCAGATTCCCATGCCTGGGGTCTCCTTGCCAACTCCCAGGGCAGGCCCTACCTCAGCAGCTGTCCTTGGGAGTCTCTGGCTATGCCCCCCAGCAGCAATTCCTCCTGCCAGTGCATGAACTTGTGGGAGAAGCCGTGGCAGCCTCCACTCAACTCCTGAGCCACACTGGGAGCCTGGAGGAAGACAGGAGAGAAGTTGTTACTTGAGGTCCTGGCTGTGGATGCCTGGGATGCCCCTCCAGAAACTGCCTGCCATGGAGTTCAGCAGGCCTGCAGTGTAGATAACTGAGCCCCTTGCCTACTCTAAGTGAATAGCTACCGTCTCACAGAGAGGAGGCCATGAGAGGGAGGAGAGGCACGGAAATGGGTTGCTGGGAGGCACTGGCATAACTGTGGTGGGTTCTGGAAAAAGGTCCACATTCACATGGCCACACAGACACTCAGGAAACTAGGTATGATAAAATTTGTCCTCAGGTTCTCTGTACAAATCTATTTTTGATAACAGCCAGTCTTTCTGAGCTTAGAAAAGGACAGAGGGATTCATATGCCATTTGAGGGCTCCTTTGGAGAACTGAATGGGAATGGAACACTCTAGGCGTCTAGCACACTGGGGACAGGGTAAGTGTCCATAGTGGACAGAATGCAGTCTGCTCTCTCCAAGAACACTGGAGCATACACGGAGGGAAAAGGACAGAAAAGAGCCTTTCTCTGGAAGACCTGGCTGGAACCCACCTGCCTGCTGTGGTGGTTAGGGGCACTAGGCGGGCAGTGGAGGTCATCAGGCTGCAGACAGGGCCGCCCCACATAGGCCTGGCCCACCTGTGCCTTGTCTAGCAGCTCCCGGAAGCCCTCAAGGGAGGCAAAGGGGACCAGCTCCTCCAGCAGCTGCTCCGGATCTAGATTGGTCCACTGGATGTCAGGACGGCCGCTGAGGGGAGAGCCCACATTTGGTAGGAGCAGGGACCAATACCCACCCTGCAAACTGCTGCGAGGGGGGCCCTGCTGTACCCCACCCTTGTCCTACTGCAGCTTCCCAGGCTACGCCAGCCTACTAGTTCACTACTGTGAGCTGGGGACGGATACAAGGTGCTGAGAGGGACATTGGGATAGATGATACTCCACACACACAAAAGGCCCAGAAAAGCCCCACAAAGTTCCTCCCCAAGCCATTGATCTTTGGCTCTAATACATAACCACCACAGGCACCTGCTGTAACAGGTTTTCTTTCTGGCCTGGGCAACAGCTTTGCAGATGCCTTACTAGCTCTCTTTGCTGATGCCAGACTAACAAAGTCTGTGTATGGCGATCTTTATTCTCCTTTGCTCAGATCCTACATATCTTTGGTTTTCTTCAAATAGACAAGCCTGCCTTTCTGAGGCGAGGAGAAGGTGGGTTTGGAGAGAGCCCTGGGGCAGCCCATGTTCTGACCCTGCCCTTGGAGGTAATTAGGCCCTTGACATGGTTTTGGGCATTATCTGCATCCCCCCCTTGCTGCTGGGGAAGTCGGGGCAGGAGATGAGGCAGGGCCCAGGGGGCAGCTATGGTGGCACTCACGGCAAGTAGGCAGAGCCCCCTTGGAGCTTGGCGCCCTCCCAGAAGCAGTCGAGGGGGGTGAGGATCACGCACGGAAACAGCTTCTCAATCATCTGCCAGGGACAGCCCAGGCCACATCAGTCCTGTCCCTGGGCTCCTTTCTCCATGACCTGCTCAGGATGCCCTCAGCACCCCCTACCCCCAACTTAGCCTCTTGGAGTCTTGCAGAGCCCTTCCCGACTTTGGGAAAGGCCCCACCCCAACTGGCCAGAGAGCAGATCAGGATACTCACTCGCTCAATCATCCCGTTCTCAATTAGGGGGACTCCTGACTTGTAGCAGATTTTGTTCAAATCCCAGGACCTGCGACAGCCAGGGGCATGGCAATCAGCAGAAGAGGGGGCTTCCCGCTGCAGCGCTGCTGTAGCGCACCTCACCCCCAGCTCAGGGGCTCAACCAGACTCACTTTCCATAGAGTGATACTTGCACTTTACTGGCAGTGAGGGCTGCCTGGAGGTGGAGGTTGAGCGCCTCAGATGTGAGGACGTTCTCCCCTTCCTGACGGGAGGTCTGTATCAGCATCTGGGAGGTGTATGCAGCCTCGTACCCCAGCTTCTCCTTGGTGTAATGCAGCTCCTGGCTCACCCGGCTGCCCACTGCCAGAGCAGAGAGAGAAAGTTGGGGAGAAAGAGCCTTGGTGGACCAGAGCTCTGGGCAATGTGGTTCCCTAACCCACAGGCCTCTCAACACAAGTGCGAGTGCTGCCAGGAGGAGCCCCGCCTTCTGCCTGAGGGCCATGCAGATGCCTTGGGCTCCTGACCCTGTGCCTAGCAATGTGGAGCTCTGCCTGGGGAGTGACAGCCTCTGTTGTGTGGCTCCATGGAATTCTTGTGTGGCTAAGATTTAAGCATGAGTCATGTTTGGGGCAAATAATTTAAAAACGAGAGATCAGTATGAGTGGGGCCAGGGCTGGGGTTATGGGGGTATCTGGTAGGGGAGCCCTCACTCAGTCCCTTTACACTCGGTGGGGAAGAAAAAGGGGGACAAAAGGGCCAACAGGAAACATCTCCTAAAAGAACAGGTCTAGGGCTGGGGCTGATTCCTAATTCAGGCTGCCCCAGGCAGTGATTTATAGCCATACACCCTTCTGCCAACTGTTCTGCCAAGAGGCAGACGGGAGTGCCTGGGAGCGGTGCTGGCTGTGGAGCGGGGGTTAGTCTTCTAGTGTGATGCTGTCAACATCCTGCACTCATGCAAGAAGGACCTGGAATCCGCTCATGTACCCAGGCAGAGGTGACATCAAAGTGGGCCAAGGAGGAGAAGGGGTTCCAGATCCCTTTTACCCGTTTCACTGTCAGACAACAGGGAGCCCTAGGTCAGGCCTGCCTTATTCTCCCTGGCCTTAGCGCCCCTCAGGTCCTGCGTTATGCTGGCCATGGAGTCATGCTCGGTAACCAGGGCCTGGGGCTGGGGTGGGGTGCTGTGAGGGGATGAGATCTAACTGCCTTGTTTGGGAGGACAGACCCAATGCCAAACCCACCTCAGAGGCTTTGGGGGCTTGGTCTGGTCTTGGACCTAGTTCCACTTCCACCTACCTGAGGTCTCTTCCTGTGGGTCACTGACACCCTGGGACCCACATGTCCTGCTTCTCCCTGACTTCACCTCTCTGGATTCATCATGCTCCCCAACCTCTTTTTCAAACCCACATCATTTCCTCACTCATGAGAGCCCCAAACTTTGGTGGCCCCGAAACAGATTTACCATATGCTCACCACTTCACATTGCTGGCCCTCCCCTCATGAATGCAGTCTTACACAGCCATCCTGGCACCCCCCCATTCCCCACTCTTTGTCTTCCTTCCCTGACTCCCCGCACACCCCCAGGCCTGTACTGCAGTGTTCATCTCACCAGGCTTAGGGCAGAGCTGCCGCAGGGCGGGGCAGAGAGAAGCTCCCCGCAGTGAGTTTGCTGAGAGGAAGAAACCTTGGGAGGAAGGAAGGACCCAGAGAGAGCTAATTAAAAAAGCAAGAGAAAGAAACACTGACAATTTAAAATACAACATCAGAACAAAGGATCCTCAGAAAAACTGAGGAAGAGAAAAAGATAGACCTTGGCTGACAGTGTTGTTAGATATGAGGACAGATAAACTGGGATGTTGCATGAGAACAAGAAGAAATAGCAGGTATGGGGAGAGCCCCGGCCTTTGTACATACTTGGCTTTGAGCTTTGGCTCAACACTTAGTCAGCTGGGGGCAAATCACTTAGTCTCTCTGACCCTCAATTTCCTCATCTGTAAAATGGGGATAATGCCTATCTTAGTAGAATTACAATCAACACAGGCCTAGTACTTAGGAAATTTCCCAGCATACAGTGGGTACAGATATGGAATAATTATTCCGTAGTTGCTGGGAGAGAAATGATGTGATAGAAAAATGAGAAAGAACTGGAGAAAAAAAGACTGTGAGTGGAAAGGAAGTTGAACAGGGGAAGGAGACATCAAAATCAATACATTTGTTAAGACTTCATATGCCTTTATACATAACTGGGTAGTCAGCATGGAAAGAGAGCCTATCTTAGAGATCATCTTATAAATGCAAATTAAGACAGCAATAAATTACCCCCTACCAAATTAGCAAAAACTTAAAAATTGATAGCACTCATTGCTGGCTTAAGGAGTGTACTTTAACCTACCATGGGAGTATAATTTGGCATAATATTTGGGGAAAGTAATATTGCAATGTGCATTGACACTCTCAGAAATGTTCATAA